CCATTTTTTTATGTATGAAGTATTGATTATTGATGTATATTACTGAAATTAGAAGTAAATTATGTGTAAATACATCTTATTGTGTAACTAATTGCAAATAAATATCTTATTTTAGATATAAAAAATCTAAAATGTAATTACGATAATCATTAAGTTCTAACAGAATACTTAGTTATTATTTGTATAAAAAAACATGTTATTAAATAAAAAAAATTACTTTGTTGTTAAACCTACGTTAAATTATAATAAAATTTTGAATTCAAGAAACTACACAAAAAAAATGAAAACTTTTAAATAATTAATATACTAATATCGATATTTTTTTTTTCAAATTTATCTAATATCTTAAAATTTATATTTTATTTAAGAATAAAAAACATTATCGCTTTATAAAAAAAACAACATAAGCCCGTATTATATCGGCAAAGACAAAGAATAAAATAAAACATTAAAATCGAGATGCATCTCGTTGCATTGCGTGACGTATAATATTAATTTACTTTTATTTTTTAAGGAAAAATAAAAAAAGGATGGAAAGACGAAAATGCCCTCATGTGAAGGGCACATGATTAACTTAACGGAGCCTTTGGTAGTCGTATTAAACAGAGAGACTATTTTAAACTTTGAAACACAAAAAATATACCACAAATGTAGTTTATGAATTTTAGGAACTAAAACAAAAAACAAGACATAGATAGAAGAGCACAAATCAGAGTATTTTCAACTGATTTTCTAAAATAAAGAAAATTGAGGTTTTATTTTTTGAAGAGAGATAAATAAATAATATTTTTTTTATTTAGTTCCACCAATTATATTGAATTATTATTATTATTTTATATTAGAAGGGTACTCGTGCAATGCAGCGAGATAAATTTTGATTTTAATGTTTAATTTTTATTCTTTATCTCTATCGATATAATATGGTTTTATATGGTTTGAGAAAGCAATAATGTTTTTTTTTGAATGAAATATAAATTTAAAGATAACATAAATTTTGAAAAAAATAAATCGATATTAATATCAAATCAACTATTTAATAGTTCTCGTTTTTTTTGTGTGTGACTTCTTTAAGTTCAACTTTTATTACAATTTAATTTAGATTTAATAACAAAGTAATTTATTTTTGGTTTAAAAATATAATTTTTTATAAAGATAATAATTAAACATTCTGTTATCTTAATTATATTTTAGATTTTCTACATTTAAAATGAATGTTTATCATGTATTTGATTATGATTATCTGCAGTTAGTTATACGAATTTAAAAATGGAGCTTTAATAAGTTGTACGTATACAAAATTACTTGTAGTCTTGAATTTTAAGTAATATGCATCAATAAACAATTTCATGCATAAAAAATGGTTTTTAAGAGTTTTTATCAAATGTTTTATAATATAGTATAGATAAAGTTTTTCTTAAAAAGTATATCAGAAATACAATTAAATAAAATTTTAATTATTAATATTAAAATCTATATAATAGAGAATTTGTTGAAATTAAATATAATTTTTAAGTTTTTAATTCTCTATTTTAAATAAGTAACAAAGAATATGCTATAATCCACTTAAAAAAAAAAGGAATGCTATTTACAATCTTTTAGGGTGCGTTTGGTACGCTGGACAGGGTGGGACAGGACAGGACAGAACAGAACACATTTGTCCTACGTTTGGTGTGGCTAAATGTGGAATAAGTGGAACTAAGTTGGACAAGCATGGGACACGCCTGTTCCACCATTACCCCTGGAACTAAGTGGAACAAGAAAGTTTTTCCCTCTTTACCCCTTCTTCCTCTCCATCGCAGCCTCCATACAACCTCCATCGCACTCCATGCTCTGCCTCCATCGGCGACTGCCTCCGTCGCACCGACTGCCTCCATCGGCGACACCCTCCATTGGCGACACCCTCCATCGCACTCCATGCTCTGCCTCCATCGACGACTGCCTCCATCGCACCGACTGTGTATGAATCGATTTTGGCCTAACCTTCTCCTTCATCAGGTACACGATTGCCCTAACCTTCTCCTTCTCATCGCTATGTTTGAATCCCTTTGACWATATCATCATTTGTCGATTCGGATTCTGAGTTCTTAATTCRTTTCATAAAAAAATCAGATCTTGGTTTTGTGTATTCTGTTGTATTCGTAGCTGTGTTTTGATTTCAAAGTGTTGATTGGAATTGCATTTCTGCCAAGATGAGTGAGGTAACAGAAGTCAAACCCTTGATTTCACAATCTTCCTCTAGAAAACTTCCTGATTTCAAGAAATCTGTGAAGCTTAAGTATGTAAAACTGGGGTATCACTATCTTATAGCCCATGGAATGTACCTTTGCTTGTCTCCTCTTGTTGTAGTTCTTGCTACTCAACTATCAAATTTTTCGCTGCATACACCCTCCAAGATGTTTATGTTCTTTGCTGCTCAATTGCATTTCTCATCCTGAGGTTTGAATTGATTTAGGGTTTGCTAGCAATTCAAAGAGAATAAGATTCTGATCAATCGATTTCGATTTAGCAATTCAAAAATCGGCTGTTTAATCTAGCTGTTTAATCGGCTGTTTAATCGATTTCGATTTAGCAATTCAAAAATCGGCTGGATATCTAATGAAGATCATATGGAAACAATACATTCTGTAGTAAGATTGATTTTGGTGAAAAAACACTAAACAGCTCATTGAGGGTAAATTGGTCATTTTAACCAGTTCTGTCCTTCCTGTCCTGTCTTACCAAACGCTGAATAGCTGTTCTGTCCTATCCTGTCCTGTCCCGTCCTGTCCTGTCTGCGCACCAAACGCACCCTAAATGTAAGACACGTAAACAGTAAAGTAATTCATTTTGAATTGAGTTAAATGCATAAAATAGCAACTTATTTTCATAATTTTTCTTATTATAACATTCTACTTTTGTTTTTTTTATTACAATAATGTACTTTCAAATTATTTTCTATTAAGACATCGGACTTTAAAAAATCTACCCATTATAGCAATTGGTAAACTGTTACCTTTTAAACCGGTTAACTCATTGATTTTTTTTGCTTGTGTGACTTTAATGAGGTGATGTGGATAACACATCATTTTGATATTAAAATAAAAATAAAAACCAATTTCAAATTATTATTAGTGATTTTCATTTTTCATTACTATGAATTTAAAAAAAAAATTAATTTTTTTGACTCTTTCTTATTAAGTTGCATGCAAATTAAATATTCTAGAGTAAAATATTTCTTAAATAAATATGCTACATTATTTTTGAGATATATTTTGTTTGTAAAAAAAGTATCACTTATTATTTTATGTTGTTAAAAAAATACATATATTTTAAAGTTCTTTCTAAAATGTTAACGAAATGAATTGTGTTCTACAATTTTTTAATATTGTTATATTAATAAATAATTCAAAAAAATCTAATTAATTTAATATATGTATTAGTCAAGTAAAAGTTTTTGAACAAATATAATATATTATTTAAAAGATAATATTTTTTGGTAAAAAAAGAACAATTCTTATTTTCTTTTTTCAAAAACATATTTTAAAAAAATGTTAGTGAGATAAGTTGTCTTCTACTAGTTTTATTAATATTGATATATTAATGAATAATTTAGAAAATTTTTAATTAATTTAATATATTTATTAAATAACATGTAAAATATCTAAATATTAAAATTAAAAGTACATTGTTTAATAAGAACTAGTAGATGCTATAATAAAATAATTTTGAAAGTACAATGTTGTAATAAGAAAGTCACATCACTATAGTACATGTAGACAGCCTACGTGGACAATAAGGTGACATAGAAATATGGTATAATGGGTAAATATAAATAAAAAGGTTACACAATGCTATCATGGGTAAATTTTTCAAAGTACAATGTTTTAATAAAAAATAATTTAAAAATACATTGTTGTAATAATAAAAACTGGAAGTACAATGCTATAATAAAGAATTTTATAAAAGTATATTGCTATTTTGTGCATCTTGTCCATTTTGAATTAGAGATGGCTAAATGCGCCCCAGCCCAGCCCAGCCCAGCCCAGGCCAGGCTCAGGACCAACTTGGGATTGGTTACAATTTTCATCAAAAAAGAAAGCTTGGCCCAAGACCGGTTATGGGCCTGAACCTATTTTTCAAAAATATTAATGTTTTATTACCGATACCCAAAAGCCATATGACTGTTTTCCACATTTTTTGTCATGTTTACAGGATTAGTGTTTGGGACCGGGACCAATTTGGCCTGGCCTGGCCTAGCCCAGCTTGATTTTTGACCATTTCTATTGTGGATGTAAAAAGTAGATTTCAATGTTGATGTATATAAGAAGAAAAATATCAGATAAAAATGCATTTAGTAATATTCTAGAAGGGTACTCGTGCAATGCAGCGAGATACATCTTCATTTTAATGTTTTGTTTTATTTTTTTGTCTATGTTGATATAATATGGTTTATGTGGGTTTGAGAAAGATAATATTTTTTACTTTTGAATAAAAATAAATTTGAAGACATCATTAAAATTTAAAAAAGTATATCTATATTAAATCAAATTAACTATTTAAAAGTTCTCATTTTTTTGTACAATTTCATTAATTTAATTTTTTATTATAATTTAATTTAGGTCAAATAGTGAAATAATTTATTTTTAGCTTAACAATAATTTTTATAAAGATAATAATTTTGTTAAAACTCAATAATCATCCTAATTATATTTTAGATTTTTTGTATTTAAAATGAAATGTTTATCTGTAGTTAGTTACACGAATTTATACATGAAACTTTTATAAGTTATACATGCACATAATTTATTTGTAATATTAAATTTTAAATAATATGAATCAATAAACAATAATTAATACATAAATAATAATTTTTAAGTGTCAAATGCTCTATAAAATTAGTAATATAGGAGTGTAATTAGCATGAAAATCAAAAATAAAAGAACATGTAGCATGAGTATGGAACTATGGTCTATGGATGGTATCACGAGGGCGCTGCAATGTTTGGCCTTGTCACAATCAGTCACCATGGCGCTCTCTCCACCATCAGTCGCCCAAATCTACACCAAAACAAGAACCAAAAAAGACAGTAAGAACACCATGTCACCTGCTCTTTGCATCCCTCCTCCGGTTCTCCGAACCCACCACCATCATCACTCAAGAATCCAAATCCCACTTCTGAGATCCAACATTACAACCAAACCCGCAAACCCCATCTTTCAAAACCCTAAACAACTACGTTCAAGATCAAGAATCTCTACGGTCCGATCATGCCAACAAAATCCTGGAGAATCCCTTCCATCAAACACCAGATTGGAAACTCTGTTGTCTGCTGCAGCAAGCTTGTATCCAGTTTATGTGACAGTGGGAGGTGTTGTTGCTTTCTTAAAGCCTTCAACCTTTTCATGGTTTGTAGAGAGAGCTCCTGATTCTTACAGCTTTTCACTTGGCTTTATTATGCTTTCCATGGGTCTCACTTTGGAATTCAAAGATCTGCTCAATCTGTTCATGCAAAGGCCTCTTTCTGTAAGTTTTCTTGGAATCTTCAAATGTTAAATTTGGGTTTTCTAGTTTCAGAATTGATGTGGGTTCTTTGAGTTATTCAATGCTACTAGATTAAACCCATTACCAAATACTATAAATAGAAGAATGTTGGTGCTAATTTTGCAATAAAGTTCATAAGGATTTTGAATTCTTGATTTTAAAATAGTCAAAAGTTCATGACTTTTATGAAATGGAGGGATTATAATGGAGTTATGCAGTTGGGTATGCTTTCCTATTTAGAAATTTGAGTTCATCTTGAAAAATGTTTTAAGGTTCTTATATATGAATAACAGCATCTGTATCAATTTTAAATTGGAAACACTAAAGGATTGACTTTAAATAGTCAAACTTCATCACTTTTTATGGAATGAATAGATTATAAGGGAATTTTTGGTGTTGGGTATGCTTTTTTTAAAAAAAGTATATAGTATCTATATACGGCAAATAGAACAAATAAATTCACACACGGTTTGAACCCCGACCTACTAAGAGGTCAAAGGCTCACATACGGCTAGGCTAAAGGCCCTTTGGTGTGTTGGGTATGCTTGTTGGTTGGAGATTTGAGTTTATCTTGAAAATATACAACTTTAGAGATTGGGTTAGAGAAGGACTGCTTCCTATTTGGTTTGACTTTTGTCTGGTTCGTCAAGTTTATAGAATTCAGAAGCTTATTGCAAGATTCAACTCATGTCTGTGTAGATACTCTTTGGATGTGCTTCTCAATACACAATTATGCCAGCTTTTGGATTTGTGATAAGCAAATTGTTGGGGCTCTCACCGTCTCTTTCGGTTGGTCTGATATTGCTTTCTTGTTGTCCTGGAGGTACCGCCTCTAATGTGGTAAGTTTCGTTTCTGCACTCCAAGTTTCAACTAGTTCGAATGTCTTTAGATAATCCGACTCTTCTTTTTGCTCGTCTCGTTTTGGATCGTGTGTTTTTTTCATTATCTGCTGAAAGAGAGTCACGATCATCCATGAAATGCCTCTGTAAGTACTGGCAACGAAACACTATAATACTGTACGTGTCCCAAAAAGGCGTCCGTATTTGACATTGATCGCCAAATGAATTACTTATTGAATTAAATATCATGGTGAGAAACCATTTCGAGTACGATTAGCATTTACAGATCTGAGATTCATTTATACAACACAATCATTTATGTTCCAATGTAATAGTGTTACAGGTGACCTTGCTTGCCCAAGGAGACGTACCATTGTCCATAGTAATGACGGTATGTAGCACTCTTGCAGCGGTGTTTCTTACTCCACTTTTGGCTAAAGTTTTGGCCGGAACTTATATTCATGTCGATGCCATCAAAATTTCCATCAGCACCATGCAGGTAAGCTTAAACCCTCCCCCGTTTTAAGTATATAATATTTATATACGGCAAATACCCACACAAACTCCTCACTTTTGGTGAGGTTTGAACCCTTGAGTCCTTGACCTTATTTGTTATCTACTTGGATTTGCGCAACCAATATAAATCGCATCCCTTTTGTCCAATTAAGGTTGAATATCATGTAGCGCTCGATAGATGATCATGTGCTTTCGTTCACCTTTCAATTAAAGTCCCTCAATCTTGATTTTAATGATCTTGGATGACAACGAGAAGTGATATGGGTGTTTGACTTCAAAAGTCGAAAGCATATATCTTTATATGAAACCAGTGGCATGCATTTTAGTAAAAATTCTCCACCTTTTACTCTCTAGGTGGTTGTCGCACCCGTTCTGCTGGGATCTTATTTGCAGAGCACCTTTCCTAAGGCTGTGAAAACGGCACTGCCTTTTGCACCGCTACTGGCCGTTTTGACCTCATCGCTACTCGCTTGCAGGTGTTTTATTTTTGCATATAACATGGATTATGTTTCATTATACCTTTGCGTTTACTTCTTTTCTTATTCTTGTTCTTTCTTCTCTCTGTTTTGCTCACACTGGCACAAGCTAGGGGTTTTACCGCTCTATCCTTTGGGGGTAGAGGTAATGTTTGTGTACATCCACCGTCAGATCAGGATATACTGAAATTGTTTGGTTTGGTTTGGTATGTATATATCAAAATGTAATGATTTTATTTTGTTTCCATTTCGGTCTCCCGTTTCTCAGCGTATTCTCCGAAAACGTAGCTCGTCTGAAGTCGTCAATGGTTCTCACATCATTATCATCTGATATCTCTCCCCTTGTTTATGCTCAAGCCTTTTTGTCAAGCGAAATGGGAATGATTGTGCTTTCGGTGCTCTTACTTCATTTTGCAGGTTTCTTTGTGGGGTAAGACTTGCTATTTTCTATTGTTATAGCTACTACGGCATAATCAGTCCCTTGTCCAAAATGTGCAACCGATATAGACCTGTATAACTGGTCCTCAAAGCCCGGTCCACTTTAAGCTGTATGTTGACCAATGGATGAGCGCCACATGCGCTTTAGAAAAGTTCATTAACCGGCCCCTTAACCAGTCACTAAAAAAATCGTATCTGACAGGGACCGACGGGTTATAACCGATCACTCTTTCCTGGTCCAGATCCGGGCTTTAACCGGTTTTAGGCCTTCATGGCCCACCTCTAGTTTTGGTATTTGTGTATGTGGTATGTTTGATGAGTTAAGTGTCTACCTGCAGGTATATAGCAGCAGCTCTAGCTGGATTTAAAGAGCCCCAACGACGGGCCGTGTCCATTGAGGTAATACTTGGAGATTCCAACAGATCAACCTGACCCACAACCCATTTGATTCATTCGAAAAGAAGTGCTCGATTTTGACGGGTTCTAACAAGAGGCACCTGTCAGTTGCTTGTTTTGACCTGTATCTCAATCTGACCCAATCTGTCCATTTGCTACATCTATATATCTCTTAGTTTGTCGGATCATTTAGTTAAATGACCTTAAAAACGAGTATCCTGCAACTTTCAAATGATCTGCATCTGGTGTTAAAGACTCTGCCTCCATAAAATCTTGAGAAATGATTAGAAGGTTAGTTTGTAAAAGTGACTTTGCTTTGGTAGATACAGAATGACTCGATGCTGAATGATTAAGAGGCTCTTGTCATTCTTGCCCGTGATGGTTCTATAACCTCTTGTGGTTTCCTGAAACCACCCGTAAAAAGTGTATTGTACCCTCGAGTCTCTAAATTTGAACATTTTTTGGGTGCAGGTTGGAATGCAGAATTCATCATTGGGCGTGGTATTAGCGGCATCGCATTTTAGCTCGGCTATGGTTGCAGTACCGCCAGCAGTTTCCGCTGTGATAATGAATATTATGGGTAGCAGCTTGGGGTTCTTTTGGAGATTTGTTGATCCTTCTGATCCACAATGTAGCTCTAAAGATTGATGATCATGGACCCAAAGGGTTCGAGCATCCGAGTTACCAGTAGATCCTTGCTGCGTTGGAGGTCGGTTCTAGTCTCGTCAAAAGTGAGGAGTGTCCGCTAGTTTTAAGGTATATAAATATTATATACATTCAAATTATTGATCATGGACTTAAGGGGGTGCTTACTTTTTACTGAGTGGGCTTAATAATTGATTTGGGCTTATTTGCATAGACAAATTAATCCATACAATACTTAATAGAAAATTTGATAAACAACCCCTTAATTTGCTCGGCCATTAAGCTTCGTTTTATCGTGGCTTGTTTGAAACAAAGGGTCTTATTTCAGTCGTCCCTTGAACTGGTTCGTTCCATTGTATCTTTTCCACCTATTTCTTCCTCTCAAACCCTCGTGTCGACTCCTCGTCTGATACTTTATGTTATTCCGACCATTTATTAAACATACGAAACAAATAACAATTGATTTTAGTGTAGAAATGACTTAATGAAACAAACGAACAAACAACCTTTTAGGTGGTTTTTGGTTTGCATAATTTAAAGGATTTCAAGAGAATGAGAATGATCAATTCTTTTGACCAAATTCCAATTCTTTTGTTTGGTTCACATATTGAAATGGATGGAATCATTTGAATTCCATAATTGATGAATTCATCGTTCCTTGGCATAAATAAAGGAATTGAATTACATCCTTTTGCATCCAATTTAACCAACACCGCCTACCCCTAGCTTTTGCCACGACCATGCTACTACCACCCCTAACCTCCACCACCACACCACTACTATTGTCGTCAAAACTGCCACGCAAACCCGATTGTCATGTCGTCGTCATAACTACCGCCGCCACACCCATCGACCACCATGCCACTACCGTCTTCGTAACAGCTTTTGTGACGACAGTAGAATGGTGGTAGGTGGGGTTGGGCTAAGGCTGGCAATGGATAAGGGTAAACCTATTACCTGTTATGTTTCGACCTGTTGGATAAAAGTACGAGTAAAGAAAATTTTATCCATTTATCCACTTATCTATTACCTGTTTACCTGAAAGTTTAGTGTCGGGTATTGATAAACGGTTTTTTGTTTATCCGTTACCCGTTGATATATATATATATATATGTATTAATATATATAAAGTTAAATATTGATATATATATATATATATATATATACATACACACACATATAAATATATTAAATTAAATATTAATATTTGTTGTAATGCAATCATATATGTCGTAGATCGACGTGTGATTTAAATTACTTTATATATTTACGAGTAAAAGAGCTCATGATAATTAGATGAGAAAAAAGATGATGTCAGAAAAATAAATTAACGAAAACTGTTGTTTTACTATTTTATATCATTTTTAAAACATTATAATATGATTATATTTAGAGGAATATTAAAATGTTTACTATAACAAATTAGATATAAAATAAATACTATATTTATGAGTTTATATTTGCATATATGTTTGAGGTTTAACAATATTATTTATAGTTCAAAATTAAATTTGGTTTTACCATTTTATCTATTACCCGTTTCATTACCTGCTAATTTAATGGGTAAGATAGGATATGATATGGATAACAGGTTTAAATAGATTGTATAACAAAATAACCCTTACCTTACCCATACCCTACCAGTTACCAGCCCTCGTTGGGGTGGGGTGGAGTGAGAGTGATACTAATATCAATATTTTATTTTTTAAAATTCTTTAATATCTAAAATTTATATTTTATTAAAAATGAATTATTTGAAACAATTTTATTATAGTAAACAATTTAATGAAAAAATTCACTAAAACCTCTACCTCAAGCAAATTTGGTTAATTTTTTTTTTACTTGAATGTTTTCCTCGTTTTCTCTCCAATCGAGATATCCTCTGTTTCGCCCACGAAAGATTAATTGAGGTGTTCCAGAAATGTCTGCGATCGAGTAAATAGCTCTACAAACGAATGGAATTTTAATGAATTTGAAAGAAATCGTATTGAGAAGTAATCTAAACAATGAAATCGACAGTTTAGACAAATAGTTTGGTTTGCAAAATCTCTCCCATATATATATATATGTATATATATATATACTAGAAGCGTACTCGCGCAATGCAGCGAGATACATCATATTTTTAATATTTCATTTTATTATTTATCTCAGTCGATGTTATAATATGGCTTTATGTGATTTTGAGAAAGCGATGATGTTTTTATTTTTGAATAAAATATATGTTTGACGATATTATAAAAATCTGACAAAAATATATCGATATTAGTATCAAATTAACTATTTGAAATTCCTCATTTTTTTGTGTAATTTTTTAATCCAATTTTTTATAATTTAATTTATGTACAATAACGAAGTAATTTATATTTGATTTAATAATATAATTTTTTATAAAGATAATAATTATTTATTTTGTTGGAATTTGATAAT